CGAGCATATTCTGACACAGTCATGTTCCCCTAGACCAACTGTACAAACTCCATCTCCTTCAGATGTCGGAGATGCTCTAGAAAGTATTCTGCACGAAAAACTGTCAAGAACTGTTCCCAAGTAACTGGAACAGGCAAGGTGGTCTGTTTGAGTTCCCACCAGTGGTCTGCTTCTCCCACTAGCATGTAGGTAGTAAGGGTGACTTTCTGTTCGGGAGTCACTCCCAGAGTCTTGAAGGTCTTCTTTGTCTCTACTAACTAGTACTCGACATCTTTAAAAGAGGATCCCCTTATAAAAATAGATAGGTTTAATCTCTTATACCTCTTTATGTAGACTGGATCCATCATGAGAAGAGTTGGGTCCCGTGGAAGAGGGACTGGGCCATGCTGAGGATGGACTGGGTGGCCCTGCGGTGGTACTTGCTGATACGGTGGGGGCATCATATTGTACTGTGGTGGTACCGGGTGGTATTGTGGCTGGGGCACCAAATCATACTATGGTGGTGTCGGGTGGTACTATGGAGGAGCATGGTCGTACCGGGGTGGCTAGGGATTTTTTCGTTACAGGGGTGGCTCAACCTGTGGTAGTGAAGGAGGGTCAGGTAGCTCCCTCCTTTTCTCCCGGCCTTGCTGGGTAGCAATGAGTCTCTCCAGCATCTCAAATATTCAGTCAACATCTTCTCTAAGCAAGCCATCCCAGGCTGCTCGGTTTAGTGGGGGTCTTCCTTTCCTCATATATCTGTACCTGCATTTCTCAAAGAACGGTTGAGTGATAATCCATTGTTTTAGTGTTCCCTAAGAAATTTATGTAAGGAATGGCTCCGAGGAATACGACTCTGATACCAACTGTAACGACCCGAGAAATATCCAAAGAAAATAAAAAGTAATTAAAGTGCGGAAGCGTAATAAATGTTCAAGGTTTACATTCCTTACACAAATAACTTAAAGTACAACATTACGGAATTCACTCTTTTGAAAGAACATAAGAATAAGGAAATGAACGAAAAATAAAGAAATCTAACATCTACTCGCAATCATCTTGCGGATCGGACTTTGGAACCTAGTCCTCTTAATCTGAAATTGTTAAATAAGGGATGAACTACACTAGCCCAGTAAGGATATCACACTATACTACTGACACAGAAATAAAAGTTGGTATAAAATCAAAACACTAATAGAGCACTTAATTTAAATAAATTCGTTTATCATTAATAAAATTATTTACCTTTCACTTACTGTAGTGGGATTCATAAAAATAACATATGCAGACAATTAATATCATACAGATCATATTTTCATGTAAAATTTGCAACATAGCAAATATCACAAGTCTATATACATCGTCAATAAACCAAACAATAACTGTCATTTTTTTCACCAACCTACTAGTATCCATGGGGTTTCATAGGGATGTTCCTGCTACATGCGAACCCTTTCTTTTAACAATCTCAATTACGGGCTGTCCCCATACTCCGTTCGGTATGAGCGCCAAATTATTAAACCTCAATACTACGTCCAGTATGAGGGTAAAGCAGGCCGTCTTCATACTCCGTTCGGTATGAACACCAAATTATCATATCTCCATACCCCGTTCGGTATGAGACAACGTTCACGGTAGAGTTCCTTATGCGTATCCAGGCCGTCCGTGCGCGCGGGAACGGATCTGGGCCGGATCGCCCACGTGGCACTGCGTCAGCACCCGTTGCCACGTGGTGAGTCATGGTTCGTCGGGGCTGCTGACCGGGCATCCTACGTGGTAATTTTTTTTAAATTATGTTTTGATTCTTAGTTTTCGATTTTTCTTTCAAAAATACCCCCAAAATCTAAATTTTTATCCATTTTCCCCTAAAATTACTTTCAATTTCATCATCCATCAATTTTACTTCCTTTTTTACTCTAAATTAAATTTAAAATTTGAAAAATTAAGAAATTATATTTATAAATAATTCTTAAATTACATTAAAATCAAATTTAGGGTATTACAAATTATTAAAAAAAAAAAGTGTAATATATTATTATATATTAAAGTATATTATAAAAATAGCAGTGCTTCAATAATTAATATGATTACTTGTGATGATAAAAAGGTAATGTAATTTTTACTCTCAGAGTTTCTCCTTCTAAAAAATCCTTGGTGAGCTGCAAACAAAATTGCATAATTCTAATGATTAAGAATTATTTCTACACTTACAAGATTGCATTTCGTTAATGCCTATAATTAATATATATATATATATGTTATTCCTAAAGAGAAAAAAAAATAAAAATTGGAGTGAGCATTAAAATTGAATAATAATGAGAAATATTATGTCAGTATATATTAATTATACAAAATAATTTATCCACAAATTAAATAATTGGTTTTCAAGTGAGATAAGCTAAAATCTGAGTGTGACTTCATTTATATATCCATTAGAATGTCATAATTTGTTTGTTACTAATTTTATAGTAAAAAAATATAATGTTAACATATGGATCAAGTGTGTAAAAATTAACATTTCATATAATTTGTTGAAAATTCGAAGGATTAATTACTATAATTTAAGATACTTAAAAAGTATTTTGTCTTACTAAAGAAGATATAATTTAAAATGCAAAGTTCTAATTTAAAGATATTGTTTAAAGCTCGAGTTGGATATTAACGAGGGATGATAATTCAATGCCACCGTTATGGCCATGGAAATTACAACGACTCCTTTTATTTAAAAAAAAAAAAAAAGAAATTACTAAAATATTTTATTTATAGGACAAAACAAGTCTAACAAAAACATTTAATTTTTAATTTAAATACATGCTCTATTTGAAAATGATTTTTCAAACTATTTATACTCCTGCATATATACTTTCTGTTAAAATATCATGTTTGAAGTTGCTTAACTCCTCCCAAAAAGCCTTTCAATCTTATGATTCATAAGTACTTATAGAATTCTGATATGCTTTTTATTTTGAAAATTAATAAAAATCGAATTCAAGATCTAACAAATAATTAAACGGTTGATAATTTTTACTTAAAAATATAAATATAAATATAAATGGTCAATGCCTCTAAAACTTCTAAATTACAATGATTAAGGAGCTGATTTAGAGCATTACTTCCTAATTAATTCTTAAAATTAATGTCCCTAATTCAATGCATTCCACGTGCGTATCTCCAAAAGTGGATTGCACGATGGTATTAATATAACATGTACTTTCAAATAGTTACGTTACTTCAATTACAATTTACATAGCGTCTCATGTTGCACGTGTCTTTTTTATTCATATATATATATATATATGTGTATGCATACATTCATATGTATATAATGATTTTACTTCATTTATTTTACAGCCATATTATTTTGCACGATGGCATTAATGTAATGCATACTTTCAAAGAATTACGTTACTTGAAATGCAAGTTACATCCCATTTACTTTTTTTAATATTTTATATTTTATATACATGTCTTCTTTATTCTTATGTATGTATGTATACATTCGTATGTAGAATGATTTTATTTCATTTATTTTATACTAGGTAACCAAATTATTTAGCAATATAGTTGGTTTATTTGTTTTGATTATAAATGATTTAATGTTTCCAACAATAACATTATTATAAATAATTAAAAACAGAAAAAAAACCAAGTATTATAATAAAAAGCTTAAAAAAATTCTCCCATATTTATATTGAAAATATTTTTATTTTTTTTTAAAAAAAAGTGGTTGTCTTCCTATTGATTAATAAACTTTTTAAGTATTCCTTAAAAATATATTTCATAAGAAAATAAAAAAATTAGAGTCAAAGTATGAATTAATAAAAGCATATGTAATAACATAATGATACATATGTAATCATTATAACTAATTTTAATGAAACAAAAATATTAATATTTGATTAATTAATACTAAATAGTTATGATAACTTATTATAATTTCTTTTAATTAATAAATTATCACAAAAGAGTAATTTTTTTTTTTTATATGTTTTATCGTACTTTAAAACTATAATGAAAAAGAAATCATATTTAATTTCAATTAAAATGAAGTAATGAGGGAGTGGTGGAGGACAGGTGGCGAGAGTAGAGAGCGAGTAGGGATGGTTATTGTACAGCCTCCGCCTCCAGCGGGTTCTGAATCCCTACATTCTCCCCCCACTAGCCGCTGCAAAATCGTGTAATGCGCCTCCTTTCTCTTCTCTCTCTTTATAAATTTTATACAGCTACTCTCTCTCTCTCTCTCTTAACCCTTATACATATATATATATGTGTATATATTTAATGACGTCTCTCTCTCTCTCTTACGAATATACATATACATGATGTATATAATATAATATGCTTATAATATCGCTTGTTCGGTTGGCAACCAGAACAGAACAGAGTAGAGTAGAGACAAGTAAGAAAAGCAGAATCTGAAAGTTGTTTAGTTACAGTAATGATAAAGCTTTCTTCTTACCCATATATTAATTTCCTTCGTCTTCTTCCTTTTTCATTTTTTATTTCTTCTCAATTTAGACTCTGTTTCCTTGTTTTTTTTTTTTTTTTTTGGTTTGACTGGCTATTGCTTCCTATAAATCATTTCTACGACGCCGTTTTTTCACTTTTCATCTCCCGGATTGACTGAGAAGAAAGATCTCTTTTGGTATTATTGCTTTTCTATTTTGTTATAATCTTCATTTATTTCCGATTTTACTTTCTATCACTCACCAACTCATTTCCTTTTAAAAAGAAAACCTCTTTATTTATTTATTTTTTCTTTGGCTTTTTGCTTGCCTTCATTTTTCTCTCTCTTGTTCTTATTCTTTCCTTTATACACAAACTTTTGATTGTTGCAAATTCAAAAAGCGCTTTCTTTTCTTTCTGCCTTTTCAGTTTCTGTTGTTAAGTTTCGGATGACTTTCTTCTCCGCCAAAATGAAGCCTTTCAACTGTGTAAGCTCTCTCTCTTTCTCCCTCTGTATGTCTATTTGCTTCTGCAGTTTTTGAAATGTTTAACTGAATGATTATATGGGCAGTTTTTTTAATTTTTTTTTATTACGGAGGTTGATTTTTCCTCTATGGAAAATGAACTTGATTATAGCGTTTTTCTCAACATGTTGGTAAAGGAAGTGAAGGGTATGATGAATAATGATTGTTTTAGTGTCATGCTTCTGAAAAAATCTCTTAGACAGCTTTGACTGTTGTCTTATGATTATAACTTCCTTCCTTTTTCCTTTTTCCTTCGGCCATCTGTTTCGTTTCTGAGAAAACAGAGGTGATGGAACGAAAACGAGAGTCTGGGTTTTACAATTTACCATTGCTTCATTTCTTCGTTTTTGGGTTCTAATTTTCACTTGGTAACTAAAAACCATCAGGCGAACCCAGAGCCAAATTTCTGATTAGGGTGATGAAGTATTCATCTAGATAGAATTGGTTGGTTTTGTTATCGCCCTTTGTTTGGTTGCCGGGAAATAGTGGAAGTTCGAAATTTGAATTTCTCTGTCGGAAATTAGGAACTCTACTGATCAGATTCCTTATCCCCTATCATCCACCAGTTTCCAGTAATTGGTTTGTGCTTAATTTAGCACAAACGTTCATTTTCATGGGTCTCAAGCAATGGATTATTGACAAGACGAGACTTTTTGCGATTGACTTTTACCACGACCATGTGGCGGCCAATCTCATGTTTCTGCAGAAGGGTTCTCGAGTATGTTGGTTATTAGTATACTAAACACTAACAACTTTTCTAGTTTGAGAAAATTTATTATAATCTTCTTTGTAGTGTTTGTGCCTTCCCCCAGTCTGGTCTGATTTATGTTACTAATGCTTTTGTAGCTTATATGGAACCAATTATACATTCCCCATTACCAAAATTTTCAATTTGTAAGGTGAAAAATTTTGGACTAGGTTCATAATGGAAACATGGGTTATAGTGTCTATCAGTAGTATGGAATATGAATTGCTCTGGTTTATTTTTGTATCTGTGAGCAGCCAGCAGCCTGTTTATCTTATTATGATTGAAGATAAGTTGCATACTTAAATTCATGGGTATTTAATGGAATAATGGATTCTGGTTGTGATGATTTTCAATCAAATTCATGTTTTTTACTGAATGCAGTGCCAGTTTTGGTTTTTGCTTGTTTTATATTTTCTACTTGTATATTTGCTATTTCTCATGCTAGGTTGTATTTTCATTTTCTTGTCAGGCTTCTGTATTATCAGATCCAAAGAGCAAATCATGCCTGTTTAGTCTTGTGGTTGCGGCTTCTTTGATTTGTGGTGCTTACTTCATTGGTAGTGCATATGTGGAAAAGGAATTTAAAGAAGTAAGTTTATTTCAATGCATTTTATTTTTTAAATCATTGTGCAATAACTATAACATTATAGTGAAGGTCTATTCCATAAATCATGCATGCAGAAATTACTAAGATGGGACGTAATTGATGCAATGCAGAAATCAAAATCCAATACATGCAAGGTTGGTTTCCTCTGCAAAGAGAAGCACCTTTATATATTGATACATGAGGCTATTTGTCAAGATTTTATTTTCACCTTTCCCTCTCCATTTAGAATCAATGCAGGCCCCCTGGGAGTGAGCCATTACCACAAGGAATTGTAGCCAAAACATCCAACTTTGAAATGAGGCCGTTGTGGGGTTACAACATGGAAAATGTACTGTATGAATTGACCCAGTTATTATTATTATTTTTATTATTGTTATCTGGAATTAGGAAAAGGTTTCAGAGTGCATAGACTAAAAAAGAAGAAACACTTGCCTGCCTTATATTGTTATCTTTCTTGTTTTTCATTCTTATATTGGAATTTCAGGGAAATCCAAACCCTTCAAAGAGCTTGTTAACAATTGCTGTTGGAATTAGGCAAAAAGATATTGTGGACCAAATTATTAAAAAGGTAGTGATAACTTGTGATGTCCTTTCTCTTTCAAGAGAAATGTCATATTTGTTGCTAACATTGATCATTATGCAATTTATGGTACAGTTTCCTTCAAGTGATTTTGCTGTCATGCTTTTTCATTATGATGGTTTATCGGATAAGTGGAAGGATGTAGAATGGTATAATCGCGTCATACATGTTTCTGCAGTGAATCAAACCAAATGGTAAGTTTACTTTCCAAGTTCCTGTTTGCCTTATTTTGAAGACGTAAGGTAGAAAGTTATAAAAGCATGGGACATATAGCTATCTTTATATGATGTTATAGGTGGTTCGCCAAGCGATTATTGCATCCTGACATAGTTGCTGAATATGATTATGTATTCCTCTGGGATGAGGACCTTGGAGTTGAGAATTTTAATCCAAAACGGTAAGTATGATGTGCCCCTTTCTCATAAAAACCTAACTTCGAGTTTTCCTGAAAAAAGTCAACCAACTATTTAGATCTTGATGTTTTGATATTTCAGAATGTGATTGCTTAGATAGAGACACACATGATTGATGCAAAATTAAGTAAATTTCTAGCATAAAAGAACATGTGCAGTAATAGCACATGTGGAGTCTCTAATTGCTGCTAAGGTTATAACGTTATTATCTTTGGCAAACAAACCTGGTCTGTTCAAACATAATTGGTATACTAGAATAGCAATTCCTTGACTATAAAATTGTCAGGCCCTCTGACCATTTGATACATGTTGCTTAGAGATGACTACTGATTTCCTTTATGTAATCACATATAACTTAATATCATATTTGAAACTCATAATTCGGAGTTTCTCTGGTACAACTTTTAGCAGTGGGGTTTCTTGGTCAAATATATGATGCTACTCTCTTTTTCAGAGCAATCTCCTTTCCAGGGCTTGTCCAAATTGATTTTTTTTTTCAAAGATTTGGAATAAGGGTCTATTTTATTTTTTTCTAAGATCCTCATTGGGTAAATTCATTCTTTTTCACCTTTCAGATCGGTAAAGACTATATATCAATCAACAAATGATGCTGCTATTTGAATGTCTAGTCTTCTTGTTCTTTTTTCTCATTTTGCTGTTTTATTCCCATGTTAAGAATTGGAGAGTTTGTATCTAAAAAATTGTTAAAATGTTTTTTAGATATCTTTCCATTGTGAAGGATGAAGGACTTGAGATATCACAACCAGCTCTTGATCGTGCTAAGTCAGAGGTTCATCACCAAATTACTGCACGCCAAAGTAGATCAAGAGTACACAGGTTAGGTCATGCCTTAAATTTTCAATGGAAAAATGAATGTCTGCATTTTGTATAGAGTTCCAATTTCAACGATGCAAGATGAACAGAGAAGAATAACATTCTTTCGTTGCTGCTGCAGCATATTTGGTTAGACAATTGAGTTCTAGTTAATGCTCAAACTTTTAGAGCCAAAACAGTCACATATTAAGATTTAAAGCTCCTAGCCTATGAGCCCTCCCTATGGGATTAAGAGCATATACTCTTTGTTTTTTATGCATGTTTTTCAGATGGTCTCGGTCATTCTCTGGTTTTATATTTTTCTTGATGATAGTTTATTTATTCTACATTTTGATATTTACACAAGCAACATGATTCCAATGCTTTCGCTCACTATATTTTTCAACAGAAGGATATATAAGTTGAAAGGAAGTGGAAGGTGTGATGAGCATAGCACCGCTCCTCCATGCATAGGGTAAAACTTTACCAGTTCTATAATTCATTTACGTGTCTATTTTTAATTTTTCCTCATTGGGCAATTCTTTTTCTTTAAAAGGAGAAGAGAAGAGACCTTCTCATAGGGTCGAGATTTTACTGTTCTCATGCTTGTGAAATTTGTTAAACAGTTGGGTGGAAATGATGGCTCCTGTATTCTCCAAAGCAGCGTGGCGATGTGCTTGGTATATGATTCAGGTATCGTATATTTGTTGAAGTAGGTCAAAACAGTGAATGCATATTATTTGTTATCCTTTGTTGTGCTTTGTGTAAGATGTGAAATCAATAAATGAATACAATCATACAATTATGAAATGATCTTTTGCAAAGATATGAATGTCATCTTATTTCTCAAATTATTTTTCATGTTAGATTATAAGATTTAAATCTCTTGAACTAAATTCCAATTAGTAGTAGTTCAAAACTTTGTGGTATCTCCCAAGATATTTAGCGATTTAGATTACAGTTTTTAAAGCTTTCAACTATATTACAAGCACTTGGAAGTTTAATGTTCTGCTACATGGTTAGGCCACAGCCTGCTTGCTCTGGGAAGATTGTGAAGTCCTGGTTTTATAATGCTACAAATATGTTCTTTTTTGCGTCACTTTATATTTGCTAAGTATCTTTTTCTGATACAGAATGACTTGATCCATGCATGGGGCCTGGATATGCGGCTGGGTTATTGCGCTCAAGTAACATTCCACAATTTAAATTCCTTTTACTCTAATTCTAGAGGACATTCTAAAGACATCTTGATGGCCTTTCAGGGGGATCGAATGAAAAATGTGGGTGTAGTAGATGCAGAGTACATAGTTCATTTTGGTCTTCCAACACTTGGTGGAAGTGCTGAACACGAGGCAAGTGTTTCCATGTTGAAATTAGATGGAAAATTTATTTAGGCGATTTGTTTTAAATCTCTCATAGATGAAGCTGGATGTTTCTGGGTTTTGGCATACTCCTAAATCTATTGCTACTCTTGTTAATGCAGGCAAATGTTAAAACAAATATTTCCCAAACAGGGAATTTATCAGAAGCACCGGTGAGTACTCTTCCATGATTTTGCTGTGTAGGTTTCGTTAAACTTCAAATGATTGTTAATTAAGCACAAGGATTTTCTCTTTGAAATTGCAGGCACCGTCAGAGTCCCATAAAGTTGATAATAGACCTGAAGTGAGTTTGAATTGCTCATCTTTCCAATTTCTTTGTCTTGTTATGCATCCGAGCACATCGCAATAACCATTTTCTGAGTTCATTTGATTCTCAACCATTCTATATAGAACTTAGAAGTAATACACATGCAGGTGAGGAGACAGTCCTTTATTGAAATGCAGATATTTAACAAAAGATGGAAAGATGCTACCGAGAAAGACAAATGTTGGGTTGATCCATATCAAAGATCCATTAATGAAAGCAGTCACTGATTTTATTTACCGGCCATAATTATATACATGCAGCTGTAGATATCTTATACAGGGGGCTGAATCTTTTGCTTGTTTCAAAAGATTGTAGCATAGCTGATATGAGTACCTTATGTTTTGGAAAAAGTGTTGAATGTCTGGGGGCTAGCCTTTAAATGACAATTTCATTCACTGTAATTCTATAGCCCTTGTAAATGAGATTTTGAGAGTTGGTTTAGTTGTATGATTCATTGAAACAATGTAAATATATATTTTCCATTTTTGACAATGTTATTTTGTTGTTGGTTGGTGTTTGTATGTTGGTTTTGGCTGTTGGACTATGTTAGAGTTAGATATTATGAACTGCAAGTGTTTTTGTTTTTGGTAAATTATTAGTTTTAATTTCTTAAATATGTCCCATCTTACAATTATATTGAATTTTTTTTTTCTTTTCATTATAATTTGATTTTTATACCTATAAAATCATTTTTAGTTAAGAATATTTTTATATAACTGAAAATTTTAATAAAAAATTACATAAAGAAGTCAATATTTTTAATTAGATTTTAAAATTTCTAACAACTAAGTATTAATTTCAATAAGCTGAATAGAAGTAAATAATTTATCTATTTAAAAAGTTCATATGTACATAATAGTTACATTAGTAATTTAATTCCCACTTGTTGTGGTAATTAAATTATGTTAAATTAAATTTTAGTTAATTTATTATATTTTAAGTAATTAAATATTTTATTACAGTTAAACTTTTTTTTTTACTAAAAAAAGATAAATTATACTCTGTTCATTAAATTTTGTTATATTAAAAATTTTAGTATTTGTAAAAATTTATTAAAAATATGCATTTACGAAGAGTTGTCGTGCAATCTATAAAAATGATGATATTTTGTATACTTTATATTCTAGCGATATAATATAAATATGTGAATAAATGTTTAAATAATTTTTTTCTCTGATAAAAAAACATATCATATTAATTTTTTAATTCATTAAAATTACTTAAATTAAGAGAACAAATTGTTCTAAAGTTTTTTTTTTTTTTTTTTTTAACTTATAAATATATTAAATTTGTTGAGATTACTAAGTTGATCACAATAATTTCATCAACACACTAATTAATTAAATTTTTTATTAAATAAAATATTATAGGTCAATAACTATGATTTTAAAATTTATATATAAAATGACTATGTAAATTTTTTTTAAATTATATTCATGGAACAAAAGATATAATTGAAGTAAAAATTCTATAAAATTTTTTCGTTAGTCTTTACACGATATTCACTGAAACAAGTCTTTTATAAAGTATTATTTTATTTTAAATTTCTTGAATTTTAACCTATACAATACCAAAATTGTAGCTCTATCTATAAAAAAAAAATATCAAAAACTTACTTGCATCTACTCTCCTTCATATAACATATTTACCATATGAACGATATACATTTGATAGAATACAAAAAGGAGGTACAAAACACTAAGAATATATTCATATGCATATTATTATAAGAAAAGCATAATGGTAAATAAGTTACCTATGTATACAAACTAATTTATTAATATAGATAATTAAATAATTGTTGTAATAAATAGATTAATAAATAAAATCATACAATTAGAAACTATTGAAACAAATATGTTTACAATTTTGTAAAGAAGTAATTACATGAATATGTAAAACTTTATATATTAATTGTTAGAATAAAAATTATAATTAATTGGTATTTTATCTTATAAATAAATTTTAATTTCTGACCGACCAATCCCTAAATAGTAAATACCACTTTTTATCGTCATTTTCTTTATTAAATATATAAATATATATATGTATGTAAATATATGTTCATTAACTGCGCTTTTATTTTTCAGAACTGTTTTAGCGATCCACGTATTTTCTGGATTCAGTCTTTTTTTATTTTTATTTTTTAATAATTTTTTTTTTTCAAATACAGAACGTTAAAATTGAAACTACCGAGACTAACCCCATCAATCGTCTTCCCCAGTCCAAACTAGGGTTTAAGCGAATCTCTGTTTCTCCTAGGAAACTCATCACCATGTCCCTTTACCGTCTCCTCCTCCGCGCTCGCCGTCCATCTCTTTCCTCTCAATCCCTTCCACTTTCCCTCCACCACTTCCACAATCTCTCACTTTCCCAAGATGCTCCACTACCAAACCCTACGCCTCACTCTCCTGATCAGAATCCGAACTCCGATCCTAACCCAAATCCCAACCCCAACCCTAGTTTTTCCCCGCTCATTTCTTCACTTCCACACCGCACCATGGCCTTCTCTTCCGCCGAAGAGGCTGCCGCCGAGCGTCGCCGCCGGAAACGGCGCCTCCGCATCGAACCGCCACTTCATGCTCTCCGCCGTGATCCCTCGTCTCCTCCTCCGCCTCGGGATCCCAACGCTCCTCGCTTGCCGGACTCCACCTCCGCTCTCGTAGGCCCTCGGCTCAACCTCCACAATAGAGTCCAGTCGCTTATCAGAGCCTCCGATCTTGACGCCGCTTCCCGCCTTGCCCGGCACTCTGTATTCTCGAGCACTCGTCCCACCGTCTTCACCTGCAACGCAATAATTGCTGCCATGTACCGTGCCAAGCGCTACAACGACGCTATCGCTCTTTTTCACTTCTTCTTCAATCAGTCCAATATAGTTCCTAATGTTGTCTCCTACAATCAGATTATCAACGCGCACTGTGACGATGGAAGAGTTGATGAGGCTCTCAATGTTTACCGACACATTCTGGCCAATGCTCCCTTTAGCCCGTCTCCTGTTACCTACAGGCACTTGACCAAAGGGTTGATCGATGCTGGAAGAATCGGGGAGGCCATGGACTTGTTGAGGGAGATGTTGAACAAGGGGCACGGAGCTGATTCCTTGGTCTACAACAATTTGATTAGTGGGTTTTTAAATTTGGGAAATTTGGAGAAGGCTAATGAGCTGTTCGATGAGTTGAAGGAGAGGTGTCTTGTGTACGATGGTGTTGTGAACGCAACGTTTATGGAGTGGTGGTTCAACCAGGGAAAGGACAAGGAGGCCATGGAGTCGTATAAGTCCTTGTTAGAAAAGAAGTTCAGAATGCACCCTACTACTTGTAATGCCCTTTTGCAGGTTTTGCTCAAGCACGGTAAGAAAACAGAGGCTTGGGCTTTGTTTGGTGAGATGCTGGATAATCACACTCCGCCAAATACTCAAGCTGTGAATTCGGATACCTTCAATATAATGGTAAATGAGTGTTTCAAGCTTGAGAAATTCTCTGAGGCAATTGATACATTCAAGAAGGTTGGGACGAAGCCAGGTTCAAAACCTTTTGCCATGGATGTTGCAGGCTATAATAATATCATCACGAGATTTTGTGAGCACGGAATGTTATCTGAAGCAGAGACGTTCTTTCAAGAATTGACATCAAAGTCATTGTCTCCTGATGTCCCAACTTACAGGACGATGATTGATGCCTATCTGAAGGCAGAGAGAATTGAGGATGCTTTGCAGTTACTGAATAAGATGGTAGATGCTAATCTGAGGGTGGTAGCAAGCTTTGGGACAAGTGTTTTTAGCAAGTTGATTAACAATGGCAAGGCTGAGGAGTCTGCGCAGGTTTTGACTAAAATGGGAGAGAAAGATCCTAAGCCCGACGCAGCCATTTATGATGTTGTGGTCAGGGGGCTGTGTGATGGAGGTGCACTTGAGACAGCAAAGGATATGGTGGATCAGATGATGAGGTATGCTGTTGGTATTACACCAGGGCTTCGGGATTTTGTATGTGAGGCTTTTGAGAAAGCAGGGCGAGATGAAGAGATTGAAAGAATCTTAAATGCAAATAGGTTCGGTTATGTTGCTGGGGGAGCGAGATCACCTCCAATGGGACCGCCAAGAATGGCAAGGGGACCTTCATCAGGACACTCACAAATGCCATGGCACCGGCAGGCACAACGATCACCTCATACGACAAGTCGGGCCGAGCAGCCACCTCCCATGGGAGGCCAGCAGCAGCCTTTAGGTTCCTATCAAACAGCAGACCAGCAGCCTGTAGGTTCTTCTCAAATGGCAGGGCAGTGGCAGCCTGTAGGTTCCAATCAAACAAATGTGCAGCAGCCATTAGGTTCCTATCAGTCTGCAGGGCAGCAGCCTATTGGCTCTTATCATCAGCAGTCATCTTGGTCTCATCAAATGCCAGGCCCGCAGTCAACTTGGTCTCATCAAATGCCAGGGCGGCAGCCAACTTGGTCTCACCAAACGGCAGGACATCAACCATCATGGTCTCACCAAATGGCAGGACAGCAACCATCTTGGTCTCATCAAACGGCAGGGCAGCAACCATCTTGGTCTCATACGGGGCAGCAGCCATCATGGTACAATCAAACAGCAGGGCAGCATAATTCAGGAACTCCACAGACATGGAGTCAGCAGGATTCATCAGGAGCACAACAAATGACACCACAGACACACACATGGCCTTCTCAGATGGAAGGGCAACTGCAATCAGGGCCTTCTAAAATGGAAGACCAGCAAACATCAGGATCTGATCAGTGGAAGGAGAACTGGCAACAGGTTGCAGCTTGATTCTTGCGCAGACGGATATAGATAAAATGGCCAGCTCTATAATGCTTTCATTTCTGAGTTGGGCAAAAAAACCTCTTTACATCATTATTTATCCCATTTATGAGTTGGCCAGTTTTGCTTGAAGCATAATAATGAGTTGGTTTTGGCCAGGAGGCTCAGTGTATATGTTATGCATCTATTCAATGTTATATTGTTATGGAAAATGAATTAACCATTTTTGTAGTTCGGACTGCATACCAAGCAACAATGGAGTTTTCCTTTTATATGAGTGATGGGTGAGAATTCTCAATTATGATGGTGCAACTCTTTATGGCATATTTTGGCTGTGTTGGTGCAAATCATAAGGTGATTTATTAAGCTGTCAAACAAATATAAATTTTTTAAGGATTCCTTTGTCTTGGTTATAAATTGACACTTGCTTTGATCAACCGTTTGAATAATAAAATACATTTTACATTCTCCAGTGGACAATTAGCTGAATTCTGCTCTGTAGTGCCCAAAATGTGAACATTGCATTTGTCTAACTCACGAAGTCTGAACCACAAAAAGGCAGCATCTATGGCTAGTCACTCCTTAAGCAGCAAATCCACATGCTGCAATAACATCACAAAAAAGGCAGTTGAACTTTTGCTGCAACATGTTGGAAGCTTCAGTTATCCCTATGGCGAACTGATGAATAGTCAGTTTACCTTGTTCTTCTGTCAATTTATTTTCAGTTGTTTAGGGTGTTCTATTTTCTTCTGTATAGTTTTCTATCTCCCATACCAGGGTGGTTTATGATTCTTTTGTGAGTATTTCTGCATTGTGATAGTTCTATAGTTTTCTGCTGGCTGATTATTTATTGGATGGTAGGAGAGTATTTTGGTTTGTCTTGTAAGTTGGACGTGGGTTAGTTTTATGATTCTATTGTAGTTAGACCTACTTATAGACTGTTTTGAGAATGAAAAGGTATCAAAGTGTTACTAAAAGTAAACTAGAATTTCTTTCTGGTTCTTGGTCCTTTAAAAATGAATTAATAGAAAACACATTGTAGTTTTACCCCTATTTCAATTTATACTGCTGTTATTTAGTTTGATTAATTTATACTGTATACTTTTATGTTGTCTAAAATATCACGTTCCCTTCATTACGGCTGCTGCTAGGATAAGTGAGGGCATTTTTACCATCTCCTTCTCCTTCTGTCACTACAAGTATAATAGGTTTGGTTTTAACATTGATGGATTTTCCCATGTGGCTAGGTTTAACCTGAGCTTTTTTTTGTAGTTAGTGTTTGGCCGGTATGCATTATATGTTTTGTTTTTTATTGTGCTGTTTGTATTAGTATTGATGGATCTTTTGTGTACTCAATATGATGGATCTTTTTAAGTGTTCTTTATTGAGATTGTTAAGTAGCAGAGATTGTTAGTTGTGCATTATTGAAATTGTTGAGCCAGTCTAGTCATTTCTTGTGCCTGGACTATGGTTTGCTGCTCGTTATCTGGATCAGATTCATCCTAACTTGTGTTGTGACTTATGGTTTCACCAACTTCATGAGGCTGCTGTAAGATTAAATGGTGCAGATCTTGTTGTGCTATTTTCTGTGCTTGCTGTCTCTCTCTCTCTCCCTCTCTCTCTCTCTCCAGAAGTTGTGTTCCTTAATGTTGTTCAAGAAATAGCTTAAATTTAAGGCTATATGGTCCAATTCCACTCCCCCTCCTATGGCTGCAAGAGGAAGTCTCTGCATGTAAAGAGAATTTAAGAGACCGCGAGAAGCTTTCTCCCCTTCCTAGAAAGAGAGAATATTTGATAACTTTTCAGCCCAAAAACAGAGTAAACAGGTAAAGAGAGGGAATTGGTTGAGAAGAAAGGGACTGGTGAATTGTGAGAGAAAGAAGAATTCCTAGGTTTGCTGTGAAGTAGAGAGAATAGTTGAGAGAGAAGTAGAGGGAATTTGAGAACATTAACTGAGACCATTGCTCCTAATCAAAATGATGTGTAAGTTGAATATTCATGATTGAATTCTAAATAGAAGGCCTTTTTTTGTCCGTCATGAATGTTCTGTACTAACACTTATAATGTGTTTATTAGAAGTCTTGTGAGAATGCACTGAAAGAGATGGTTCTATGATTAAATTCTTCAGACCTTTCATATGTTTCTGTAATCAAGTGGGCACAGTTGTTTCAACTGCTATTAGGTTTATAATCTCATGTTTATGGTGATTGGTAGTGTTAGAAATGTTTTAAAGAGTATACTTTTTTGGACATCTATGTGAGAGAGAATTACTTAGGCGCTTAGCACCCTCAGATATAAAGAACCCATGGTTTTTGATGGCGGATCAAAAGGAATCTTGCCTTTTTGCGGCAAGTGCAGAAGAGGGTGTGTTTTTTTCTGAATGCCCAGTAAGGATGAAGATGCTACTTTCCATACTCAACCTTCATATTCATCTTTACCTGTATTTGTTCTAATCTCAAGTGACAAAGGTAACAAACATGCCAATATCGACTTCAATAGACTAAATGAACTAGATCTAAAAACTTCCTCTTGCAGGCATAAGGCTATTGAAAGGAGTCAATCTAGTCAAATGACAAGCTTCGATGAGCTTGGATTTATCCAGAACAAAAGCTCTTGAGAGTATTAGGTACTAATGATCTTGATTTTCTCATTATTTTTTTAAAAAAGTATTTGTACTTACACTAAATAACCTCCAATTTTGTCTCTTGTGATTCACTATCACCAGCGTATATGTTTCATTTTAATCTTCTGTTTCTATAGCATTAAGTTGGCAATTAGTTTTTATTGATGCTAAAGCGGAAAGTGGCTTTGGGTAATAAGATAAGAGCTCTAACAAAAGAGGGGATATGAGAGCTTGTTGATCTTCCATTAGGAAATAAACCTTTGGGATTCAGGTGAGTGTTCACCATAAAATACAAAGCTGATAGAATTGTTAAGAGGTTCAAGGTTTGATAGTAACAAAGGATTATGCAAACTTATAGAGTTGACTATCAAAAATGAGATGAGAACTCTAACAAAAAGACAGGGCATGGGAACTTATTGATCTTTGATTAAGGAAAAAACTAATCTAATGTAGATAGATGTTTACTGTAAAACACAAAGTTAATGGAACTGAAAAAGTGAGGAAAATGTGTAGATTGAAGAAGATATTCAATGGATTAAAAACATGTCTCAGAGAGTATTTAGTAGATTCAGTGATTCTATGACTTTTCTTGGGTGTAATAAAAGTAATACTAATCATATCCTATTCCTTGAATGTTGAGATAGTAAGGTTATCACACTCTTACTCTTAAGTTAATAATATAGTATATGGGAGTTGATAGAAGAAATTGCAAAGCTGAAGAAAATCCCTTGCACTGAAGCTCGAGAGCAAGGACTTGGCTGAGATTTTCTGAGAAGTTGCTAGATAATTGATTTTCCTAAGCAAATATATTTTTGACCTTCTCAAAGGAAAATGTAAATTGGATAGTAGTAAACTAGTTGGTTCTCCATTGAAGCAAACCACTAAGTACAAGATGGTGCAAGTATCACAAATTAATAGACTTTCTAATCTCTCTCTCACACCTGGCCAAACCTGGTATAGCTTATGTTGTGAGTGAGTATGGTGAGCCAACACATGGCCTGATTAGCCTCGACCATGTCCTAATGCAGTTAATCACATTTTGATATTTGAAGTCTACATCAGGAAAAATAGTGTTTTTCTTTCTAAGAATAATCATCTCAAGATAGAAAGGTTAATTGACGCAAATCAGGCCACACTCTCCTGATGGTAGAAACTCTACATCGGGAATTTCACACTTTGTTGGTGGAAATTTGCTTTCCTAGAGGAGTAAAAGACAAATTGTTTTGGTAAAATCAAATACTGAAGCTAAGTATCCAGCAATTACTCAGGGAGTCTGTGAGCTGCAATGGCTTTAGAAATCTAATAGTTATCGTCTTAGGGAATTAATTTTTATATGTATTCCCTTGGTTATCAGGGAATTAATTCTGATATGTATTTTCTGATTTTGGGGAATTAAGATTAGGAGATTTATTGATTTGACTCTTTTCCTAGTTTAGCCTCTGCAGTTGTGTGTGTGTGTGTGTATGTGTATATGTGTACACATAAACACACACATGTATAAACGGCCTTAACTCTAATAACCTACAATTGGCATATTTTGTCATGTTTAGTCTCTTTCTTCAGAAATTCACTTTCTTCCTTGAAAAAAAGCTGTAAAATTTTTCTTTTCTGGTTCTCATTCCAGAATTTTTTGTTCATTTCTTTTTCATTTTCTTTTCACTTGAAATTTCTCTGGTGTTTCTATATTCTTCTTGAACCATGTCTAAAGCCACCGAAGTTAGCCACATGTTTGAACCTCAAGCAACCGAGACCCACATAGAAAACAACTACTATGCTGTTGGAGAACTACCTAATATCTAGGCAGCATTTAAGATTAATGGGATAAATTACCTGAAATGATCTCAACTAGTTTGGACACACTTGAAGACCGGAGGCAAAGTGAGTCATTTACTCGCTAGTGACCCTAAGAAGGGAGATCCAGAATATGATGCATGAGTCGAGGAAGACTCAAGGGAATATCTAAACTCTGGAATTCAGTCCAAGAAGTTACTGACACTTGCATTTCTTGAATATGGCCAAGGAGATTTGAGAGATTGTCAAAAAATGTGTTCGAATGTTCGTTACACTGGACAAGTCTATGAGATCAAAATTAAGATTGTTGCCACCAGACAAGCAAATCGGACAGTTACTGAATATTTCAATTTCTTGCGAAGTCTTTGGTAAGAGATTGATTGTTATCAATGTATCCAAATGAAGTGTAGTGAAGACGCAGCCACACTTAAGAGGTTTGTTGAAAAGGACAAAATTTATAATTATCAATCAGGCTTAATATTGTGTTTGATGTAGTACGAATTCAAGTCCTTGGCAAGCAAGGTCTGCCTTCTCTTAACAAGACAATTTCAATAAATCTGTGCTGAAAAAGGAACAAGAAGAGTTATTGTTGAGAATATTTCTATTGGGAGCTCGACGTTGGTGTCAAAAGCAATGATGAAAAAGAGTACTGTATTACGGCAATCATTCGCTGAATAGAGCAAGTAGTCAGGTCAATCAAAATCTTTTAACAGAGACAATTTGTGGTACACCTACGACAAAATGTCCTGCCACATCAAAGAGAAGTGTTGGAAGTTTCATGGCAGGTCAATCCTAAATAAGAATGAAACAGGGAGGAGCGGAAGTTCATATGGCTAGTATACAGTGAATCGAAGATAACCACTTAGAGACAACTTGAATCCAAAAAAAATGAGGCTGAGAGATTTAAGAGCTTCCTGGTGTCACTAGAGAAATAATCATCTTTGTCAGGTACTTGTAATCTAGTTTTTTAAGGTATATCATCCGCTTCTCACGCTCTTAGTGCTTCAAATAATATTACCCTTAACACATGAGTCATCGACTCTGGAGTCACAACCCGCATGACCTTCTCCTCCAGGAAATTTATCTCATACACACCCTGCCCTGGTAATAAGATCACCATAGATGATGGTTCCATCACTACTATTTTTTAGTCAAGGAGATATTTTTACTGGTGATTCACTAATACTCAATAATATCTTTCATGTCCTTCAAATTATTCACCAACCTTTTTCTATCCAGAAATACTATAGATACTACATGCAGTGTGATTTTTTATCCTTCTCATTGTTTATTTTTAAGGAACAATGTATGAAGAAGATGATTGGTCGTGCTAGGGAGAGAGAGAGAGATGACCTCTACTATCTTGAAAAACCAAGTGAACAACGTAGAATTGAGGATCACTTCCTCATCTTCATCTTAACGAATCCAATAAAGATAAGATTTGACTTCATCATCTTCATCTCAGTTACTCTTCATTTCATGCAGAATTGTTGTATAAAATTTTCAGTGATGTGTGGTAACTCACAAAGTACAAACATTCCATTTTTTCAATAACTGGTAAAGGAACATCTATTTTATTGACTCTTACTCAGTGACATTTGAGGGTCTTCTGCATGTATTCAACATTTTTGAAGTTCCCTTAGTTTTCATTTACCAATAATTGCACTCATATAACGTGAATTATATGAGTCTTATGTTTCAGAATCATTTCAACATGATTAAGTCACAATTTGGAGTAGGAGTTAAATGTTTTGGATCTAACAGTATCAAAGGTTACTTTAATCAAAACCTCTCTCCATTCTTTCACCAATGCAGCATCATTCATGAGTTATCTTATATTAACAGTCAGTCAACAAAATAGAATTAGCTGAATTAAAAGATAGCCATCTTCTGTAAGGCACCCGAGCCTTTCTTTTCCAAAAATTTATTGAGTTGTTCAATAAAAAATTTGAAGTCTTAAACCAAGATTCACCGTTATAAGTTCTAGTTTGGTTTAATTTAAGCAAACGTAGGTGTAAGAGTTTACTCAATTCTCAATCATGGTATGCCATGTTTCAAGTTTGAAGTTTCAAGGGCTGTTATGTTGGTGCTCATATTTTTACATAAAATTCAGCCTGTCCAGACCAATGGATTATTTGGGCAATTGGCATATATTTTTGCTACGCAGGTGATAAGGACAAGAACAAAGTCAAATAAAGAAAACCGTATAATTACTTGGCCTACTGATTTCCTGTGCCCATATCTCTCCATAGCTTTTGCGAACAAAGGTAAAGATGGATTAGCCTTGGGTTACTTCTCAATGAAGTTGATTTTGTAATGTAATGACTTGGCATGAGAGATTGTCTCTTTCCCAATTTTAAAGATGAGCAATTGGATGACTTGAAATTTTCCAGAGTAAGAGAGATGGCTAAGCAGAATGATGTAGTGAGTCCACGAGGTGGCTAAACATAAAGGTTCAAACTGAAATTTGCTCTAAATAGAATGTTGACAGATTTCTCCAAATAAAACTAAGTTTGAGCTGATTGAATTTACATAAAGCAATGAAGCAGCTTCATCTTTTGCAGCAGAGCATATGACACAGGCTGTCAGTTTCACATAAAGTGATCACAGGAATGCCATGCCATGCATCTTTGTATCCTAGTTTCTACATCAATTTTTCTCTTGCTCATTACACTGGCAATCCCCTAAATTCTTTCATAACCATCTATTCCCTTTGCAATTCCTTGAGTTAGACTTTTAAATGATGATCAACATGCTGGCTGTCGGTGAAGCAGGCTCACAAGAAATGAACAAATCTCCATTCAACAAATTTCATTATCCCTTCTGCAAGTTACATATACTTCTGTGTATTTAAGTATGAGGTTTGCTTTCTTCAAATTCTAGAAAACCCGGTCTCAAACTCTGCAGTTTAATGTCTAATATGAAATATTCATACATGGGCGTGTAGCATATACCTATACATCAGCAGTGCTGGGATTTATAAACCCAACAATGAGCCTCCTCATCTCATAGGTTGCATTCCAATGACTCAATTGCATATTGCCATTTAAAATCAAGAATCCAGTGAAGAGAAGCATTACAGAATGTTGTCAAAGATGCTAGTCATGTCGCAAAGATGTCAAATGGCCATCTTCCCATATACCTTCTCGGCTGCCCTCTCAGCCATCTCCACCTTCCCATGAATTCTACAAGTCCCCAACAAAGCCCTCCATAATGCATCATCAGGCTCCATCTCTATCCCCTTTATCAATTCTTCTGCTTCCTCCACCAGTCCTGCCCGCCCTAACATGTCCACCATGCACGTATAGTGCTCTATTGATGGTCTTAATCCAAATTTCCCCTCCACCATCCCAAAATACTCTCTCCCCTTCTCCACCAACCCGGCATGACTGCACGCCATCAAAACCGACGTTAGTGTCACCCCATCCACCCTTATCCCACTTTCCACCATCCTCTCAAACAAAACAAAAACTTCACTGTATTTCCCATGCATGCCATACCCAGCCATCATTGCTGACCAAGAAACCTCATTTCTAACAGGCATTTTATCGAACATCTTCTTTGCACCATCCAAGTCACCGCATTTTGCATACATGGTAATCGTTGCATTGGAATTTGCCATATCAAATGCATACCCACTACCCAGAACAGCCGCGTGGACTTGCTTGCCGAGCCTCAGGGCGGACAAACCAGCGCAAGATTTGAGCACGGCAGGCAGGGTATATCGATCAATAGGTTTCAGGGCAAGGACCATTAAGCGAAAAATGGAGAGGGATTCAGAGAATTGGTTAAGAGAAGCGTAAGATCTGATGAGGGAGTTGTAGAGGAAGGTAGGTTGATGGTTGGTGAAGGAGAAAAGCAAAGTGGCCTCGTGCATTCGGGCGGAAGCAGCATAGGAGGAGACGAGCTTAGCTCTAATGAAGCCATGAGAAGCAATGCCCTGTATTATGGTTTGTGCATGGAGTTTTCGAAGTTTCTGGAGGTCTTTTGTGGAAGATGAAGCATCAAGAAGCGCAGCATAGAGGGTTATGGCGTTGCCTTTTGCTGCCATTAGAAGGACTCTCTATCTGCATTTCTGCTGTTGTAATGAAAAGAAGATATGAAATAGTAACATAATTTTTACTCTACGTTTCACTAAAAAAGATATTTTTACAAAAAAATATTTTAAGATTAATTTTAAAATGAAGATTACTAATTTTAAAACAATGTAATTAGTTACTATTACTTCTAGAATAACAAAAGGAGGTATATAAGTGTCTTAAGGAAAGTAGCCAATTGTTAATTGATGTAACAGTGTAAATGAGAAGTACATAAATCAGAAGTTTAGAGAAGACTGAAAACAAAAACTAAAAAAAATAGAGTCAATTGAAGAATTCTGGACGTAATTTAGCTTTTAAATATCCATTAATACATAAATTATCAACATCAATGCTTTCTATCCTTTTTGTCAAAAGGGAAAAAATGCTATAAACCTCCTCCTATAGATTTTCTCTGCAGTGAGTGAACATTCTCAGACTATCAATAACCTGAACTCCCTACACAACACTACCTATACATTTGTGTTAGCAGAAGATCAAAATTGGACGACTATGGGGGGAAAAAGAAATAAAGAAAAAGTCGCTATGTCTCTTTTGAGAAGAGATGTAATCCCCGCAAAATCAGTTTCTCAAAACTCCATTACTGATGAGCTCAAGTTGAGCAATGGAGCCAATGCACTTGGGGCAAATTTTCGAGCAAACAGGAAGCATAACGAGGTTGGCTCTTCATTATATAAACATTGTGTCCCATTATTCCTTATTGACTGTATAAAATCTTCAGTAATGTTCTCTGCCCCATACATTGCCGGATGAGGTCCTCCCATCGACCAATCGACCCATGTCACACTCCGGTTAGCAGAGAGGGAACCGTGGAAAATGTTTAAGAAAGTCGGAATGTAATGCTCATCAGGATAGCAAGCTGGTCTGCAATATCTTCTGAAAAGAGTGTAGTACTTGGTGTCTGAGACAATGTAGATAGCCACCCTGCGGTCCATTTCAAACCACTGAGAGCCTTTCCGCCACTGATAGAGGTTAATATCTGGAAGCATCTTGCGGTTGTAACGTCCACGCCCATAACGTGAGGGCTCATCATATGACTCAACAAAACTGTGGGCAGAATCAATGAGATACTTGTAGACAGTTGGAAAATTGTAGACTGGGATGCAGCTCTCAGATAGAAGAATAAATCGTTCGTTTGAAAAGTCCAGCAGAGCATTGGCTAGAAGTCGCTTCTCGGCATCAGTCAGTGTCGCAGTTCCCCATTCAACATTCTGAAGTTTGAAGCAAGGAAAACAATTTCAGAAGAAGAGAAAAAATGGGAAATTGTTTAAATGCTAAAAAGGATATCATCCTCAAATGATGACGTCTTACTTAGAGCAAAGAAAAAAATCAAGGCTATTTCTCACAGATGCTACAAAACATTCACAAAATGAGTGGTTTGCTTTGAATGCAACCAAAACAAAAGAGCAACGAATAAGGAGATAAGAAATCTCTATCTATCAAGACACTTCGTAGAAACCTCATCTCCTCACAGATAGAAAATCCTAGTTACTTTATAATCCTTTACTCTTTTCAAATAAAGGGGCGATTATTTATATTAGCTGATGGACACATAATCTAAGCAAAAGACAAATTCCTACTGTCTTTTTTTAGGGAAACAAGACAAACTCCTACCAACAGAAGAAAAGTGAAATTTCAATTTACTCATTAACAACACCTGGAAAGCAAGAGGTTTTTTTTCAAAAAAAAAAAAAAGGTTTTTGTTCCACAATTTCCATTAGAATAAATGACCTTCCCATATACTGATTGTTAATATCATAGCTCAGAGTTGTCTATGAACCAAAATCTAGTATAGGAAAGAATGACTGATGATGAGTAGCGAAGAAACTAAATTGCTGCAGGATAGTTTAGGAATAGAGAAATTTTGAGTGAGATCAAGATAAAAAAATATAGAAAGAAGTAAAATAAATGGGATAGATTAAATAGAATAACAACCAGAAGAACAGGCATAAGGGGAGATAATAGGAAATGAAGCCTTCACAAAAATATTCTTAATTCATCATCATCTACTCTCTTTGTAGTAACTACTAACTTTTGTAAAAGTATTATTTACGACTAAAAAGGAAAACTTTAAAAAAAAATTCTAAAAGATTCTAACTCTTATACTGCTCAATCTATCTAAATATAGACCTAAAATATTAAAATGCTTGAGTAAACCTAAATAACTTTAAAATGCATAATAAGAGAAACAACTACAGAAAATTTCTTCCATTGATATTTATTCCAAATTACAATCTTCTTATTCCACAGCATTCTACCTCACTTCGTAAAAACTCGATCTCAAGTTTTGAAATGGAAAAGCATCAAGATAAGAAAGACTTGAATATGCTCTTTAAAATTTTGAAAAAGTCAAAGCATTCGGTAACCAAATTTACACGCTCTTATCATAAAATGAACGAAGTTCAAGAACTCTTTAATGCAATCATCATAGATAAGAACATCAATAGCAACATGAGGTAGATTAAAATTGATGAAACAAGGAAATTGCTCAATACCATTAACATAAACAAAAACAACTTCAACGAGAGCCAATTTCTTGAGCTAACTATTCCTCGTGGTTCACAAGGAATTTCAATTTCTTCATCTTCTGGGCATAGAGGAAGTATTAGTTATATTCTTAGGCTCAATCTTTAATTCTTACATAATATTATATTTTCCTAACTCCGGAGTAGTCTACTTCATAGTCGATGTTTAACTGACAACAGTTATCATATGCATACCAATTACTAAGAGAATTTTTAGCATAGATAACATTTTCAATAGATTGATATTGAATACAGATTAACTACGGATGTCTCTCAATATTCTCTACGCACCATAAAGACCTAAATTTTAGTAAAACACATTGTATGTAGATTATAAGATGAATTATGACAAAATATTTATCGAATTTCATGTCGAGTTCAAGAATATGCTTTTAAAGTAACTGTAAGATTCGAATCTAACCAATCTGATCTTTTAATAGGCAGAACACGGGAGAAAACTTTAGGAATTATTCTGAATTGTGCATCAAGAACTAGTATGAAGGTAGCTGAACCAATCAAAATAAAGCAAGTAAATAGACGCCTACTTGCCATCAGGGTGCATGAGAGTCACATGCGTGTCTCTTGTCACCATTGAGGGTCGACCTTCTCACAAATGGCTCGTCTCCAGATGGACTTCAGGATCATTTATCATTGTTGGCTGTGATGACTGGGAAGGTGAAGATATAGCACGCAGTAGTGGTTCCCTCTTGCAACAGCAAGTGGGATGTTTCCAGCTGAATAAATGGATGAAGTTTGGTAGGGAGGCTGGTCGGCGGTCTCTGGTTCTAATGATATTGGCAATGTAAGCCACTACCCGTCAGTTGTCTAAGATCTGAGATTGAGCAAGATGTACAACTTCCTTTTTTTTTTTTTCCAATTCCGTCTTTTTCTTTCATGAATAGAAAATTTGTTTCTGCTAGATGTGGTAAAAACTTCCGAGTTCTTTTCTTTTTGTTGTTTTTCATGAAACATACAACTGGTGAAAGGTAGAGATAAAGTTCAACTGTTGCACCAACTGATGCAGTTAAGTTGGGACTAAACTAACTTGTCCCCAATTAGGAATAGAAAAAATTTGGGTGAGAAAACATAAGAATATAGGTAGGCTAAAGAAACTTAGAGATCAATGTGAAGAAAATATAAGAAGCAGAGGGGACAAGATAAATTAGATAGAATAACAACCACAAGATAAATAAAAATTAAATTTTTATTTATTATAGTCTATTCTCTTTGTTAGTAGCTATTACACTTTATACAGGCATTAATTATAACTAATAAAAAAAATTCTAAAAGAGAAAATCTAAAAAATTCTAATTCCTACGATACTCAGTCCATCTAAATGAAACACTAAAATACGTAGAAAAATCTAAATAACCTAATTACTTTAAAACACAAAATAATAATAATAATAATAGTTACCAAATATTTCTTATAGAAATTTTATTCCAAATTAAGATATTTTTTTCTGCATCAATGATATTGGCTTTAAATAAGTAGAATATAGACAAGATGAGACTTTCCAAATTCCACACGATCCCTGTCAAACAACCACTTCAGAGGCATAGACCTCCTAAGCGCAGATTGCTGATCACAAGGTTAAGCATGGTTAGAACTCCCATGTCTGAGTTATCTTCATAAAAAAAGAGCACGAAATCCGAACAATTACTTGCAGCAGCATAAACCTTCTCCAGCAAATCAGATTTGCTGCCACATGAATTAGCTTTTATTTATAATGGCAGGTAAATAAGCCAGCTCGAGGATCCCCAGAGGGCTAATTTATCATGTCTGAGGAAGTCTACCTCACGGATGTGAATGCTTTAGAGGGCCACTGTCAGGTTGTGACTCTTTAATCAGGACTTTCGCATACAATGAGTAACTGACTTTCAATGAAGTTCAGGAAATGACATTTTTACGCTTATTTTGCCAGGTCATATTGAAACCACATCCACAGTTCTATAGTAAGAAGCTTCACATAAAACACCCAACAGGATTAATAGAAAAAATTATAAAGGTGAATATTGCTAATATTCTCAAATAGGTTGATTACAATTCCAACCTTCAAAAGCAGGTAATAGACATCCAGTAGGGATACCCACTCTGCTTCTAAAGGCTAGAAATAGGACAGAAAATCATCAAATCCTCCTCTGTACTCATAGCTATAAGTAAATTTCCAAAACATGTCCTGTCCTTTAATTAGAAATTTCTGTTTACTGAGACATTTCTTGTCCTTTAGTTGGAACTTTTTTTATCGACAGAGTGTAGATAGTACACATAATGTCAGGACCGCATGAAATGTATGCTGACCAGGTGAAATGTATGACTGACCAGGTGGAATGTATGACTGAAGTGTCATTGAGAAGATGTGGGATAGTTTTTCCTTTTATTTTTGTCTTTCTGTTCCTATTAATATTTGGCAGAAGGAAATAAATAGGGCAGAGTGGGAAGTGAATAAGGGGTAAAATTTAATTGAATTTCCAGCTTTTCTCTCTACAACAACTCATCCTTTCTCTTCTACATTTTCAATCTTTCTTCTCCCTAAATCAGCTCTCATCTTCTCCTAAAATATTTCTAATTCTGCTGTAACTCTTGTTGCTCCTTAATTTCTTCACAAGTCAGGCCAGGTACCTGACACATAACTACATTAAGTAGCATCATGCCATCTCATTTGAGCTACTAGTTTAATTTCATCTCAGTTCTATTAACTTAATTCATTTGCCATTATTAGTTTATTCAATTACTGTTTAGTTCATAAGCAAGCTAATTTCAAAAACTTGGTGGCAAGTGATTAGATGTATTAAATACTGAAAAGTGTTACAAGTATAAGAAGAGAATATTTGAACAGAAAATTCTGGACTTCCCCAATTCCATGTTCCTTTGCTCATTCCTCTGTTCTTTGCTGAAACGTTACTTTCATATGCTCTTTTCTTCTACAATTTCTTTCCAATTATCATGCTGTTATCTCTATAACACAGAATCCTTGAGTTAATGAGTTAAGGTTCTAATTTTGGTATCAAAGCCAGTTGAACCAGAGGATACTCTCACTCACTTGCAAAACTGGCATGGAATAGCAAAATGACATAACTGTGCAATCAATGGGTCCAAACTCTTGATGTTACCATCAAGTCTTTGGATCTCAAATTTCAGTCTTTGTGAAAGAAATGTATCACCCCTTTTGAGCATAAAAGTTGCTCACGAAGTTCAAATGAAGACTCAGCGATGAATTGAGCAAGTGAACTTCATATTGAACACCAATTCAACAAAAATGGGAGTGGTCGTTCATCGTTCTCGAATTGATGAATCAAGCTCCTCATGGTCAAACTAGTGGCACCGGCATTTAGGTAAAACCTAATTTCTCTGGTGAATCTGGTAGTGGACTACTTCCAACCGCTCAATTTTACCCCCGGCAGAAATCCTGGGGTTAACTGAATAGATCTATTCCTAATATGGCATTCTCAATGTTTGAGGGAGTTAATCCACAGAGTTGGATTGAAAAAGCTTTAAATATTTCCAGATCTAAAGTGCCAGAGGAACAAAATATTGAGATTGCCACTCTCTATTTCAGGGAGAAGGCTGACAAGTGATTACAGGGACAGCAACAGCAGAGAAGTTACAGGGTAAAGTTTCTGTAAATGAACCTTACAGGTGATTAGTTTAAGTATGGCTGATGCAGTAGAGAAATTCAATAAATTGCACCAGAAGAGCTCAGTTTCTAAATACAAGGAATCCTTTGAGAAACTCAAATCATTGATGTTGAAGAACAATCCTGTATCTCTCTAAATCTTACTTTCTTTCTAGTTCCATTAGTGATTTTAATAAAGAGTTACACAATGTCTTCAAAGTATTCAAGCCAACCACACTCCTTCAGCCTTTGAGCAAAAGCTCACCTCCAAGAGTAACCCATTCAGGAGATCTTCAAACGCCAAGATATTCCTTCTACACTCCACCTTTCCATTCACTCACAAGAACAACTAGTCCACTTCCCCTAACCACACAGTCTCTAAACAATTAACTTCTCAGGTATCTAGAACCATCTAGAGACCACTGAAAATTGCACCAATTTATGAGACGCACGACTCTGGCTTCTGCTACCAGTGTTGAGTTATCTTCTTCACCAGTACTATAAGTAGAAGTAACTTCTTTGTCTTAATGCTTTGGGAAAGGATGTCATCAGAGGAGATTTTTGATGGGACTTGAGGGGTTGAAGCAGGATCAGGGAGATATCCATACAAGCTCTTGAAGGCATTGCAATCCTTAACGCACTGAAGATTAGAGGAACTGCTGGGGACAGGACCGTTCTGAGCCTAGTGAAAGCACTCATAGCTTCCTTGATGATAAGGTCATTCGGGCAATTAATGTAGCATTTGGCACATTGTCTAGGGTTTTCCTTTGACAATTACAAAGCCCAGCAGGTTGAGATGTATGCAAACACATTAGTTGATTGCAGGGATTTGGGTAAAACTTCAATCTTTAATTGTTGGCATTGTAGAATATTATAATGCAGTCTTGGATGTTGATTGGATGAGGAGGTCTAGTCTAATGGTCTTTGATTTGCTTAACTAGCAGAAGGATGAACGTTACATTGCCTTGAAGGAATTTTGGAGGGGCTGTCTCTTAAGATGATCACTTCTAAGTGCTTATAAAAATTTTCAGCCCATGATGCAAAAACAGGAAAGAGTATAACAATGGAGTAAAGTACATCATCTTTAATCAGCCACATCACCCAACCCCTCACTAGCAACAGAACCTAGTGAAGCGATTCAGCAAGCAGATAGAAACAGGAAAAAAATCATTTGTTTAGGTCTCTTGCAATCGTTGGCAACATTATTTAAACGAAATGGAGAATCATTCCAAATATATGGCCGTCAGAATTTCATATTTCAACTATCTCATATAATCAACAGAAATCCCAATCTAACTCATCCTCACTGAAACTCCATTATCTCAATGATTCCGTGCCAAAAATTATCTACTACAGTTATCCCTTTGAACATCTCAGCTTCAACTCTATGACACTAAATCCAAGATGACCCAGAAAAGAAACATAAATAACAGATGCTATCATGCTATATAGGACCCAAAATCCATTTCTTCCGAATTGATATAACAGCAAACAGAACTAAACCAAGAAACAACGGTAGTGGCAAGATATTACAAGCTCCGTACCTGGCTAGGGATCTGCCTCCCATAGAAGGGAGAGTCTTGGGAGACATTAAGGTAGAACCCAGGAGGCGCATGCACATAAATTGAGAAAAGCTTCTCATGGCCCTTGAAGAACTTCTCCCACAAAGGCAACATGGGCAAGGGCCCTCTTGTCAGAAACATGAAAGACATCTTAGGCAATCTGTCGAACGGGTACTCTTCCTTATAGGGCATCATGGAAGCTCTCCAAAAAAGCTCCTCATCCGTCATCTCGTGGTTCAGATACTTGGGCCGTACAAACGCCTCCATCCTCATACAATCCAACTTCTCGTCATTGCATGCTTTAACGATCGTGCAATCGTTTGATCGAGACATGGTAGCCTGGTTGTTCTTTAATAAAACTTCTACTTGCGAACTGAAGTAGTGGTTGATGTGCGAGCTAGTGGTCAATCCTATTACTATGCCGCCCACGAAGACAAGCAAAAGCGATAGTGCTTGAGCAAGTTTCAGCAAACCTACAGGCTTCTCTCCTTCCTCTTTCTCTCCTCCTCCTCCTCCTCCTCGACACCTTGCCATCGTTCACCTCCCTCTCTCCCTCTCTCTTTTCGCTCCAATTAAACTTAATCCAAACCAGGTTTGACTCTAGACGTTTCTGCATCAATCAAATCATATAATTTCGGATTTCTTTTTCGTAGCTTCAAATTTTGAAAAAGAAGAAATAGAAAACAGTCAGACTTACTTAATTAGTAATACAACTTAATTGAAACTGAAAGGGAAGAGAGCAGTGGAGATCAATTTAGATCTCGACTTCTTGCTAAACCTCTTGTTTCTGGTGTTATAAAAGAAAATAACCCATATATACCAATAATAAAGAGATTTATACAAGAATCGAGTCTAATAATAATAATAATTAATGAGAGAAATATTCGAATCAGAAGTTCTTTTCAGACAAAATAAAGGTTTCCAGAGTGGATTATGATTCGAAAGAGGTCTCGTTAATGATTTTGTTTCGGAAACAAGTTCTGTACTTCTCAGAGAAGGGAGAATTCAAGAATAACGAAAAGGAAGAGAAAGGATGTGCGTGAAGGTTACGCGCAGAATCAGAATCTGTGTTTTACGTTAATGGAGATTGGAGAAGGAAATATATATATATATATGTATATAAGTATGTTTATATTATAAATAATAATGAAGAATCAAAGATGAACTGATCAACAGTTGACGGTTATTGGAAAGAACCTACTCGTACTCACCTTAGCCCACCAGCTTCCCCCTCTCATCTTAATTCAACATAAACTATCATATTGTGGTTTTATAGTAATTTAGAAAATAAAAATACTTAATTTTATATACTATTTTGTTAATTAAATAATTAGCGTCTAATTTTTTTCATTTTGATAAATTTATAATTAGTATAATGTAAAATTTATATAATTTTATATGTGCTTAATATATGTTAGTATATGTTTCCTTTAAAAGAGCTCAGTTTTTCCTAACATGCATGCTTACTAGAAACTTATATTAAACTAAAATTTTTAAATAATTAAAAATATATATATAACTATGGAAACAATAGTTTTAAATTTTTTTTAAAAAAAAAAAATAGATCCAGCTTTTTTCAAAAAATAGATTTACTTTTATTTAAAAAAGAAAATAAATTTTGAAATAAAATGTATTAATATGTAAAAAATTATATAAATTTCAATGTCCCCAAAAAAACTAGTAATAGCGCAAGATCATATTATATCTTATATACATGTGCTATAAAAAAGTTAATACTTAATTAACTAAATTATTAAATTAAATAGAATAAAAAATTGCATAAGTAGTTGAATGCAAATTATATGTAAATTTTGAAATATTATGTCTTGAGTCTTTAGGTACCAATAATTATGTGTAATATAAAAAATAAACTATAAGATATTAGATGCAAAGAAATTTATAATAATATAAGAAAATTACTATATTATATAGTCAATCTTTATGCCTCAGCTTGGTTATGGGCTCTGAAGCCCAACTACAAACTAAGCTTGTATGAACTTTAGATTAAATTAAAAAATGGTGCTAAATTTTGAATTGCCATTTTTTTAAGCAAACAAAAGCTATTATATTTAATTGAATTAAGAGATTTATGTTTTTACTTAATTTAATTGCAATTTCTATTCTTGTCTCTACACATATATCCCTTATATTTTATTTTTACACAGTTTATCATTTAGATCTTTATCTAAATTTGGAAGTTATGTTATATATATGAGTTATTAAATACATATAACAATTTGTAGCTAATGGTATACTATGTGTCTAACAAATAGTACATATATGCTATTATGTGTAACATGTATATGTGTATATATAATAGTAGTGCTATATATATATATATATGTATATCCTCTTTATAAATAAAAATGATTATACTATATATACAGATACATTGTTGTAAATTGATATTATATATATATTGTTAGACATAATGTTTATGTATATAAACAATTATAATCTTTTCACGTATAATAGTTAGCAATTATACATAATAATTCTGATGTTGTGTGTGTGTATATATAACTCAAACCGATATTGGTTTATAGGATAACATACCATAATGAATTAATAAATATTTTAAAAAAATTCTTCTACATTTTTATATTTAAAGTCACCTTTTTAATTTTTTAAAATATTTTAAATTAGATTCTAATCCATAGATATAATTAACATAATTAATTTCAGAACACATGGTAGTTGATTATCGTATGAACTACCGTATGGACCAAATTAAAAATAGAGGTGGAATCATCTTCTTCCTTTTTTTCACTCTTCATCTTTTTCCTTTATACCTCACCCAACAAAAACTCGATTTTCCTTCTCTCTTATGTCTTCTTCTTCCTAAATGCAAGCTTATTCCCATTTATAGCACCACAAGGCGTATATTTGCTTCACTGTCTTTGAACTCCTATTATGCATACCTTCAAGCGAAGGACGATAATAGCTTTTTCAAGGAAGATAAGAGCTAACAATCAATAGTGTGTATAGCACAAAGAGGTCTATAAGGTTATTAGAGAAGACCGTTGACGAGTTAAGTTTAAAGGAGAATGAAAAAACTAACATTGATGAAATAGACAAAGACATGATATATCTATTTGATATTGTTCTTTAAATAGATTTCACCTTTGTTTTTGGTTACTATGAAAATGAATGGCTAAAATACTATTTTACTATTGTATTATATTTTTCTTGTTCAATTTAGTTTTTGTTTCGATTTTATATCAAATTAATCCCTATATTTTCAAAAGAATATTTGAATGAGTCTTTTTTATCACTAACCACTAGCATGTTAACACTTGATGCTACGTGCAACGAATTTTTGCACGTGATATTTTTTTATTGGCCACTTATCCACATTATATTTTATATTTAGATCGATCTATACAAATTTAAAAACTACTAAAAACTGAGCCTGTTCACATTAAAATAATTTTAAAAACAAACATGACCCCACTTTCTTTTGTTATTCTTTTTCTCTTTTCATTCCTTTCTCTTCTAACCTTTCATTTTTTATTCCTCCCCGCTCTTTTTTACTATGTTCACAACAAAAGAAATTATTACTATTTGAGAGGAACAATGAAGATTACTAGCCCAAAGAGCATCTTCTGCTATCTTCCACTCTTTAACGAAGATGAGGCATAAATGAAGACATGTATCACCATCCAAATAAGAAAATGGAGGATTGCAGTTACTAAGCTTTTGCACAAGCTTATTCAAGCAATAAGAAAGAGGAACCAGGGATTATAAGAGGCTCCAAAAGAATTCAATAAAGTAAGCCTATGTTCATGCCTTTACATCTTTCTATCTCTCACAACTTGCAATTGATCTAGGTCTATTGGTGTTCACTCCTTCGAGGTATACCCATGAAGTCTACCACCCTTGCCATCGCTCACCGTTGGCCTACTATCATTAGAACTGCATTGTCGCTGCTTAAAGTCAATGAGGCATATAAGAGTGGGTGCTCAACAAAGATTAAAAAGGAGAGAGATTGGGGATTTAGGAATTATTTGTTCACTTTTTTTTTTATGTTGGACTAGTTTAAACTGATTCACATTAAAACTCTTTTCTACATCATGATGCTACGTATTATCAAACGTGGATAAGTGACCAACTAAAAATGTCATATTTCAAAATTAATTTTGTGACATCAAGTGTTAATAATATCAATGTCATTGACGAAGAGGGATTGATTTGAACAGTTTTTGGAAGTATATAAACTAATTTGACATAAAATCAAGGAAAAGACTAAATCAAGTAAAAATTAAATAGTATAATAACTAAAAAGTACTTTTATAAAAGTTTAAACCTGTATTAGGGATTTTGAGTGTATAACTCGGTAATAGTAAGATTAACAATATTGAAATTTATCATTTAATGGAAGCAATTAAAGTTTGAAGGTTACATTCCTTGCACGTTTACTTAAAATGTCCAATAGGGTTATGAAAATGCCTTTAAAACTTAAATGAAAAAACCATAAAAATAAAACAAAACAAATATGGTTAACCTCTACTTGAAACTGATGAAGCAGAAGAAGTAATCTCTTAACTAGTCTCTTGTTATTTAGAATCGAGGTTTTAGTCGTTTTGATTTGAAATGCTTAATAAGAAAAGGGCAAGCTACATTATCTCGGTAAGAATATCAATGTTTTACTACTGATACGAAAAATCAAACACAACCAATGGAGTTTATTCTTAATAAAACTCGAATGCCAGTACATTCATTATTTGTTTCACTGAAAACATTAACATTTTTTCGACTAACTTGTAACTTTTTCAAATGTCATTCATTAAGATAAAAATTAGAATAACAGTCTAACAATATACATTCTAAAAGATATATAACAATTGACCCTTAGCTATTTCCCAAAATCGAATTCCTTCCCATATTCATCTCTACTCTATCATTTTACCTTTTTCTATCGGTGTCACTAGGGTTCCATAGGGATCTCCACTACGTGTGGACACAAGCACTTTTTTGGTAATCAAACAGTTGTCCCCATACCACATTCGATAATAGGCGTCACAACACACAATCGCCTCAATACTCCGTTCAGTATGAGCGTAATTAGACTAATTCCCAACCCATTCGATATGGGACTTTCTAGCCCCATACAACTGAGGGTAACATCCATGGTAGAGTTCACCCTACGCACCAAGTTCGTACACTCTTTCTTATGACACACGTTAAGTCCTTTTATCCAACACCATTAATTTATACATATCTTTTTATTTATTTATTATTTAGCCTTAAACGACACATATATCTGTATTCTAAGCAACAAAAGAGTATGAAATTCATATTTTAGAGTATGTGAGTGAATTAAATATGCATTATGCTGACTAGAACGTATTATGCACACAATAGAGAAACGAAAAATATAGATTAAGAAGCCATATTATGCTAACCATAGATTTAAAGTGAATAAATTGGAGCAAATAGAATAGTAAATAGATAAGCACAATAAAGTGACTAGAGAAATAATTAACACAATTAAAGTAATAATAAGCATAGACTGACTGGTTACTGCCTCCATCGATAACTTGTACTTAATAAATCAAGGGGTCGCCAATTGTCTAAAATTTTCATTTAATATTAATTTAACTTTAATTTAATCGTAACAGAAAAAAAGGGTGAGAGATTCTTACTATGGATCAGTGTCCAGAACAATGTCTTTTTTACTACATTTTTCGATGGTTTTCAGTTCTTAGATTTCTTGAGTTTTCCTAATAAGATTGCAACATACGTCAAAATGGTGTTAAAATACACAAGAAACGGGAAAAAGGACAAAACGTCTCGCTGAGGGTCGAGTTGGGGTTCCAGCGCGATGGCATCGCAGCCTAGTCCTCCTCCTTCGGTGGCTCTTCCTCTCGGTCATACTGGTTTCAGCCAGTTCTTGATGAAAATTGATTTAAATTATGGTTAGGGGGTGTTTCTCGACGAAGGGAGGGACGAGTGCTTACTAATAGTTTTAGTCTTCCGGTGCAGCGGCTCAACCGAGCTCCGGCGTCCTTCCCTCGCGATTTGTGGCTTTTTTTGGTCACCCTGCATCGAAAACATGTTAAACGGCTAAAGGGCGGGGAAACGGGAAGAACGGGAAATAATACAGCTTACTGAACTGTTTTCTGATCTCTGGTGCGGCGGTGCAACTGTGCTCCACTACCTCTTTCTTGTGGGTCGTGGTCCTCCTTAGTTTTTCCTACATTTGGGTTAG